CTTACACTAATTTCAACTAGAGTGGGATATCGTGTAGTGTTGACATATAATGTGTATCACACATAGAGGTGTGATACACATTATATGTCTAATGGAAAACAAACCGAATATACAATGACAGGATTGATTTGTCTGTTCAAATTAGATCAGTAGTATATAATTTTCGACATGCATCAGAACTAAAACAGGTTCTATATTTTCATGATAAATCCCAGATAACACACATACATCCATTGGATGTCCATTTTGAATCCATTAGGTAGCCGGATGTCCATGGATGTCCAATGGACATCCATTGTGTATATGTACAATGGACATAGAGATTTGTACATACAATGGACATCCATTTTGTAGTTGTACAATGGACAACGAAATTTTTACAGCCAATGGATATCCATCATACTTATCCAATGGAAATCGTTTCGCAAAGTATGTATGTGTCATTTATGACTCTTCTATTTCAATTGAAATATTTTTACCAATAATATATAATATATTATATATGAACATTAATCACGGACAACTTCGCACTCGGTACTATTTTTCAAGATTTTATACGTCTCATCATTTTTGTAGGTTACGTACCTATATAGAGGCAATGTATAGAGGTAGGTACTTATTTTGAAGTTGATTTTCATCCAATTTCAATTTTAAACCATTTAGGCCATGCAAATAAGATCGATATGGGCAAATATTATACGGCGGGTTTCTCTCGAAAAAGATGAATCACCCTGTAACACTTTTGATAAGGGCCGTGTAAAAGCTTTATTGCGGCACTAAACTTCAGCAAATTGCATTTTCTCTCGATGTGAAATACCGTGAATACGAAATACTTGCTATAATATTTATAACAGCTCAGTGGTCCAGGGGTTAGCGTTGTGATCCGCGAGAGCGGGGTCCGGAGTTCGATCCCCTCAAAGGACAACTTTTTTTTAATTTCTACGTTCTGACTGGACAAAATTTGGATATCCAATGGAAATCCAATGTATTCCTGATGAGTATCCAATAAACTTATCATTGGAATGGACATAAGTTGGATTTTTGGTAGACATCCATTAGAGTTCTGATGTGTATACAATGGTATTTCAAATGTAATGGACATACAATGGATCTTCATTGGGAATCCATTGGATGTCTGATGAGTATCCAATAGACTTCCAATGGAAAGGACAAATATTGGATGTCCAATGGAAATCCATCAGATGTCTAATGGAAAGCCAATGGACTTCCAATGTATGTCCAAACTGTTGGACATGTATTATCCAATGGATGTCCATTGGACAAATACTGGACAATGCCGTCCATCCAATGGATGTCCAGGGTATCCATAGCTGGACATCCATTGGTTGTCCAATGGATTCACTTGTGTTGTCTGGGATAAGATACTGCTTCAATCTTGTGTTCTATAGTAGTGCTTGAATTATCATCATTTGAATAATTCGAAGAGGTATGTTGGGAGAAAATGCAAGTTATCTGACCTAGTAGCATAAACACTTTATTTTATATAATATTATCAGGTTTACATAGTTACATAGGTATTATTGAGACAGATGTAGACTTCGAACATTAAACGTGTTTGTCATAATTTTATAGAATGATTTGATTCATGACAGTTTCACATATGAACGGTTATGATCACATTCATCAATGAAATAACGATAATTATAAATTATGTGTATTTACAATGTGTACAAAATTGTGCTAGTGACATGTTCAGCTTCCGGTCTGCTACATATCAATATATCCATTTTTCATCAGTCTATGTATAAAACTATATATTCGTTTACAAAATCTTATATTAAAACATTAACACTATTATTGTTACATAAAGTTTGTTGAATTCATTTAATTTCACTAAAAATTATCTCATTATATTAAAATTGATCTAGTTCGTGAAATGTATGGAACTGGAAGTATCTATTTTGTCATTATCAACATGATCTTGTCCATCATTAGATATGCTTTATTGATCACTGAAACCATTTAGACAAGATGATATGGAATGAAGATTGAGATATGTTATTCAGCATTCAGAAAAAATATTGTTTCAGACAATTCAAGATTTTTCGCATATTTATATTGTCATCTGTTAATAACATCTAAAGAAGTTGATATAATTTCAAACATGTTCATCAACATCATGAGAGCAAGAAGATATATTTACAAATCTAATGTTAATTCACATTATCTTTATATCACATATAAAAACGAGTATGAAAATTGTTTCAAAGAGTCAGTAAATGCGAGTTTCAAAACACGTGAGATGGATCACATAACAAGATAGTGCTAATAATGTAGTGAAATATATACATCGATGAATTGATAAAGGATTATAGAATGAGGTGAATGATTTCATGAATGAATCACCCTTCAGCTCAAATTACTGGCTCGATTAAATTATTGCAATAATGATATCAATGTATAAATCACAATAGTCGATATATATAAGTATAAATATGATTATTTCAATTCGATGTGTGTATACCTAATCTGTGATGTGATATTTGATACTTATAATAAAATCATTCATGATATGTGCATGAGAAGAAGAACGTTCCTTATTTCAAGCATTGAACACGCTTACGAGATCCCAAGAGATTAACTGACAACATTGATTTCGGCTGTATATCTCAACATTGGTCGAGCAACATTGCAATTCCAGTAGAGGAGTTGAGAATTTCGCATAATTTCTGTGTATTCAAGTGATGATATCATCAAACCGTTGAATTAAATCTCCATTGGAAAATTGTACATATATATATGCCCACTGATTCACATATTATTACTATTTTGAAAATAAATAATAGATTCTGAGTTCGGTTAACAATAATTGAATCAACTTTTCCAATTTATTCATTATTTTCCGAACTCTGTTTTGCTATTATGCATGGTTCTATCTCAGCATACTATATGAGATGCTATGAGTTTTTGCTAGTCAGGAAAAGGGTTTTCATGATTGAAATCACCTTATTTTCATAAATGCATTGGCGTAGTACCACTTCATATGATACTTTCTAACGTGAGGCATATGATACTTTCTAACGTGAGGCATATGATACAGAGAGATTCGATATTTGATAGAGATATCTCAAGGACGTTCTGTTGTTCTTCAAATAAATATAATATGTCCTCAAAGACATCTTCTCCGAGCCACAGACTAACGTGAAACAACTTTCATTCGAAATTGTGACTATAATAACGGATTGAATCTCTCAAGAATCTGCCTTGATATTTGGTAAAAGTCCATTGTTTCTCGAAGTGGAATGAAAGAAGGGTGATTACATAATGATAGGTAGATCACAAATAACAAGATTTGCATGCTTTCATTTCTGTTTCATCAGGGGAACCGAACAAACCCCATATTTGGATATTAATGGAGGAAACATGAGAAAGACCACCAGAAGGGGCTCATCAGCAAGACTTCAGAATGGGAGAACGTGTCAAATGTCGAGGAAATGATTTCATTGAATAGTTTCAATATTTCCTTGGTTTTTCTAGCCATTTTATTCATTTTGAGCTCGAAGGGTGTTCTTCCGGAATTCAAGTCCCAGTTCGATACTTACAATTCCTTGATATATCTCAATCGTATATCGAATCTGAATTCTTGTTCTGAAATTATACCTATATTATATAATTCTCCACATTTTGGATAATCGAGTGTTTGGATGAGAATGATCCATTGGCTATTTTGATATATTCATATTTCTCTATAACAGAATTATTTTTTCATTTAGATAGAATAACGATACTGGTATGAGAATAAATCGATGATAAACTTATACAATCATGCATTATGATAAGCAAAATCGTTCTTCAAAATACTGTGGAATAATTGATGTCAGCACGTCATGAGAATACATGAAATATATAGTTATTACCATATAAGCCCAAGTTGGCAACTAATATATTCGACATTCAATAATATTCATTTTCTTGGAGAAAAATTTTTGTCTAGTCAAATTCATATCAGAAAATTCTCGAAGATACTGAACCGAATACAAGATACTATGTGTGAATGATCTTAATATATTTCATATAATATCCGAATAGCATCATCAGAGCAATATCCAGGAAACAATGAGGAAATTTTTTCAATTCACTATCGGAATTGAGCTGATTATGATATCCGATTTTGATATTTGAAATTTTCTGCATTTTTTTGCCGGAAGATTTTATCAACATTTCCTACTTTCTCGCTATATTATGTCAACTTTTTTCATATTGGTGATGCGAGCACAAGTTGATTCAATATCAGATGATAATTCTAATCTTGGGAAAAATATGTTCCCAAATTCTATTGTGGATCTGATGAAGTGTAGATGACTCCAGAGTATTCAATTCTCTAATTCAAAATGATCTATTATGCGAATCAGTTAATTTCGTGGAAACTACCATAATCAAAAAAATTCCACAGCTTCAAAGTATTGATCTCGGAACAGAAAGTGAAATCAAGTTGTCTTCGTAGATGTGGATATCATTCTAAGATAGCTGAGTTATTGCTCTCTTCACACTTCAATACTGGTTACTGCGGATAATAGGGAATTATCGATCATTTTATTTTCAGTCAACAGCAAGAACAAGAATGGTTTGTTCATATAAATAAGTTCAGACTATTGAAGAAGATTTTTTCCAGAGTTATCTTGAAGACAGTCGTACCATCATCATCGATGATGAAATACAAAAAATAATTAGACGATGTGAAATCAACCAGGTTCAATATCAAAGTGAGAGATCGGAGTACATGAATCATCGTCTATGTACATCAACAAAACCTATAAGCTACTCGCCTTCGAAGAAATCATCTATTCAGTTTATAAATCAAAATACCCATCACGTTTGGTATCATCCTGTTAAATCGACACTATATACCATTCGTTCACTTATGAATTTAGTCTTGAGCCCAGACCCATATATAATGCAAACACTTTTAATCTCGCGACTCGAGCTCCATGTTATCATCAACTTCACTATTCACTAGAAGTATTCTCCCTGAAGACACTCTATACACAACTTTCTTGCTGAAAACCCATCAGAGGCGTCCGCACTGTTACGACCTCTCGGTGGTAAAGGCCTTGTCTGGCAGGAAACATGGCGGATGCTGGAGACACCTACAACAAACAAAAATGGTCAAATGTGGAAAGCAAGCTCACCAGCACTGTCAATGAGAATGTATTACGATGACAGTGCCCATCTCAAACGAGAAATCTGCTGACATGAACAGACTGGTTCAGATTCAAGATTGATCATCTCATTCACATATAGATGCACCAATGAAATTACATGATTGAAGTTACATGAAATATAATTTGAGCAGTACTTCAGGTAAACAGGGAAATATCAGCGTAGATTTCACACCTAACATTCTCGAACAATCAAAAGCCTGTATTTTGTATCGTTACCATAGCAACTGAACAATTTCCTGGAAATGTTTTTCTCCTGCATGTGTGAAAATACACTGTAATTATTTCGACGTTTATAGGCGAAATGACATTCACATCCAACTCCAGATTGTTTAAAATTCATTCCATAAGTTGAGAAAATATATTTCTACCGACTATAGCTGATTTGATTTTTCAAAAACTGGGAGATTGAGCTACTATTTATCGGCTCATATCATATCATCTACACAGTGAAGAATGTTTGATATTTCAATCGAGTGGATTTCAGAAGTAACTTCGATTGAATCAACACTTGATTAGTAATAATATATCTTGAATCCTGTATCTGTAAGATTATGCATTTCCGGACCAATGTTCATGTCGTCTTAGCACCCTCCGAAGTATGGACAGATATTTGAATATGACCCTGTTTTTTTTAAGTCAAGATGATATTCTGATTATAACAAAATGTGAGGTTAGACTGGGTAGGATTCAGCAAAAACATTTATATGCTTGCAATCAGTGCAGCATTACGTGATGTGGGGGATCCAATAACTGGAGGAGTCGTTATTCAGAACTCTTTGAGACACAAGAAGATCACCGATATGAAAATATAGAAAAAGGTAGATGAAAGAGAATGGAAATGGGAGACTTGCCAGCTTTCGTGATACAGATAGACGTAACAGGTGATGTGTGATATCAGTCGACTTGAGTCAGTGTTGCGTGAAATTAGGCGTGCTGTTGATTTCACACGTTCGAATAATTTGAAATCTCATCTCATAACGACTGCCGATAGAATTTTGTGGCAGACTCTTCTATTGACGTGAAAAGGAATTCTCCTATTTCAAATTGATGCAGTAGTTGTATTTTGTTACTAGCTTGAGGTACATCAAACCTATAATACGAAATATTTTCGAGAAATTCGGTAAATAGTCATTCACTGGTAGATTATCAACAGTGTGTTGAGCTGAACCTATGGATTTGAGTAACACAATACAGGGTGATTGAAAAAAACCTGTCTACCTTGCTGATGTAGGTAGAACACTAAAAAATGAGTTGGGTTTGTTAGTTGAAAAATTTCGTAACGGCATCCGTTTTCGAGATGAAAGGTTGAGAAAGAATATTCGCAGAAATTTTCTGAACACACAAAGAATGAAAAAGTGGATATACATAAGAAGAAATAACAAGGGAAAGCTTTCGTGACTGTTCTATAATAATTCTTGGAAATATTAGTGGGATGCGCAGTCTGGACCAATGAATCAGTTAAATTTCTTCGTTATTTGTCGTCGAGCTTTCGAAAATTTTATTGTTCCATTCGATGTTTTCAGTTAGTCTTGATAAAGAAAATAAAAATTTTCGAAAGCTCGACGACAAATAACGAAGAAATTTAACTGATTCATTGGTCCAGACTGCATCCCACTAATATTTCCAAGAATAAGAAGAAATACATTGGGAATTCGCATTCTCTATATTATGTGATGAAAATATCATTTCTTTCTAGGTTTATTCAACAAAAAACATTGACTTTGCTGGCAATATGCCACGGCGAACATTGAATTGTATTTATTGAACACACACGATCAGAATTTGAATACTAAATCTTCTGAAGTTACGAATCTGCATATCTATTTGTCATTTCAGAAAAAAGAAACGAGATGAAACGTAAGGATAAAATGTTTTTTTCACAGATTTCTCATGCCTAGGTTGAAACTACTGGCAATATTGTGATACAATTTTGTCTGGATGTGTTATGGAAGCTGACACATCGCAAGAACTTGTTTCTATATTTGAATCTCATAGAGGCTAGTTACACGGTTCGTACCGAGTATTTTTGATCATAACTTGTTTGAGTTCAGATATTTTGATTGAAATCTAGAGTGAACTCCTCTCTCCCACTTCATATCATATTTCACTACGAATGCTACACATGGTATCACCCTTTTTATTGGATTAGTGGAAGCACGCCATAGTCCTCCCACTCTCAAAATGTAATGAGCCTAAGGAATTTTCTGATTTACGGCCTATTAGTATTTTGCCCACACTCTCAAAGGCTTTTGAAATGGTTCTTAAAGCACAGATCACTACTTTTGCTAACGAAACAGATTTGATAACTAGTGTTCAATCGAGGTTTCGCGCCCAATATAGCACTACAACAGCACTGAGCTTAATAACAGCTGATGATATTCTGAAATCCTTGGATAACAGTAACTTAAGAGGGCGCATCAGTCAAAACTGCCATGCAGAGGTCAGTTTGGTACCAAATCATTAATAAACTATAAGTGTAAGCGCAAAAGTGGTTGGTACATATTAAAGACGAAGGTTGAGAATAGGATTTGAAGGAATTTTACAGCGAAATTCGATTTGTGTAAAAAAATATATGGTAATGAAAAACAATAACATTGACAACGTTTGTGTAACAGAATCGAATAAAAACCTGTCATACCCTAAGTTAGCAATTTAATAAATTTTTGATGAAATAATCAGCTTCTGGAACATTGTCGTTTGGGAATGTATTGTGCGTAAAATTTATTCTGACGTTTCTGCATCTATTTTCAATATCGCCATATTGTTAGCGAGGTTTCTACACTGGCAGAGTAGTTCAGCTATTGTCTTTCAGAGGGCTACACAGTGAAACTACCGTGCTGCGCTCCTTCAAGAAGTAATACAAACATTGCAGTTCTCTTTTTATTCATTTCTTCTTTCTAGGTCTGGGAAACAGTGTTGCCAGTAAGGCGCTTTTCAACTTCGTTTTGCGTAATTGCGATTTTTTGTAAATAATTGCGCTTTTTTTTCTTTTCATAGTCTATCGAGGGTATTGCATAACTGACTCTGTTGATTGATAATATTAATCTAATATATAAAATTCTCCTGTCCCTGTCACGGTGTTTGACGCCAAACTCCTCCGAACGGCTTGGCCGATTCTTATGAAGATTTTTGTGCATATTCGGTAGGTCTGAGAATCAGTCGTAAACGATTTTTCAAATTGAAAATTCAAGATGGCGGATATCCAATATGGCGGACGAGTTTTGTAATCCGATTCTATTCAAAATTGGCATCTGAGGGTTTTCGGGGTCGGATATTATGATTTCTTCGTCAAAATGAGGAGATTCCGAATGGCGGATACAATATGGCAGACGAGTTGTTCAAATATGATCCGATTCTGTTCGAAATTGGTATCTAGGGGGTTTTCGGAGTCGGTGATAACAATTATTTCTTCAAAATTTGGAAATCCAAGATGGCGGATCCAATATGGCGGACAAGTTTCGAAATTATAGACCAATTGTATTCAAAATTGGTATCTGGGATTTTCGGGTCACAGATTCAGAATCTTTCGTCAAAATTGGGAAATTCAAGATGGCGGTTTCAATATGCAGACGAGTTTTGTAATTATCGACCAATTCTATTCAAAATTGGTATTTGGGGGTTTTCGGGGTCAGAGATTATGATAATTTGGTCAAAATTGAGAAATTCTCATCCCATATCCCAATCGTAACGTAACCACCACTTTTTTTCCAATTTAAAGAAAATAGTTTCGATTATGGAAGAACGGCTGCAGCCGAATGTCGCTAACACTTGAAAACATTATAATTTAAATGTATTTGAATGAATAAAGACGCTATTATTATTATCTTGAATTTCCATTTAAAAAACTGGTGTTGAAGTAAGTATACATGTATAATCCACTCATGACAGGTAATATTCATAATTAAAAATTAGTGTAGGCATAAACATAATATTGTCTTTTGTGAGGCCCATATGAAACTCAAAATATTATTTTTTATGAAAGCAAGTAATTAATCCTTTCCTCCTTTTCTCATTTGCTAAGAAGTAGAAATCTGGTGCTACTTAGTTTCAACCAGTGACCAGTGATGCCAGGTCTAAGGAAATGTCCCTAGTTCAAAGGACAAATTACTAAATTCATTTTTACTAGGGAAATAAGGGAAAATTCTCCGGATTTTTTCATCTCGTTCGTGACAATTCTATTCAATACCTTCACACTTACCGAAATAGGATATTTCAAAAAACAAAAACAGTTTTGTTCTATAAAAATTGTATTTATAGACGGATTGACCGTTACCCACGTGAACATAAGGCCAGAAGTCTCTTGTGTCCGGGGCCCGGGTCGACGTCGAGTTAGTCCGTTACCTACATGAACGATTGACCCCTACTGATATAATATACAAAAACATCAGTGTTATAATATATAAAATAGCAGAACGCTGGCAGCAGTGGCAGCACTGCAACTGGCGGAGCGGGCGGGCGGGCGGTGTCGCGGTATCAGGCAGTGTTTGTGATTCCCCGAACGATTCCAACTGGACTTCAAAGAAAAATCGATAAGTGACCAGTGTTGCCAGTATGGGCGATTTCTCGACAATTGGGCTATCTCTGAACCTATTTTGGAGACCAAAAATAGAACTTGGCGACAGGCGACTTATTGAGACGACTTGGGCTTCTGGGGGTGAGATGAGTATCGCGAGTCCAAATTCAATGGCTTTGTGACTGAGGGCTTTACCATCCAAGTAGATTCGAGTCATCCGCACCACCGAACATATACTTTCAGACAAGTATATGTTCGGTGTCCGCACAGAGCGAGATCCATTTGACGTTAGCAGGTGTTTTGTTTATATTATGTTTCTACACTCTACAGTATCATTCATAAAGTTGGCATCATATGAGAAAAATTTTTGATAATAATATATCATAAATATCTAATCTATTTTCATCAGGTA